AGGAGAAAGAAAACGCCTTTTTTATTGTATGATTTTACTTATAGGCACGTCAATCATATACTAGAGCAGAAAAAAATTCGAAAATTGGCATTATTCACTCCTCCAGATTCTGTACTTATTGCTTATCTTCATCTGAAAATATGAATACGAGCTCAGAGAGATTTGGCTACCATACATTTGTATCATTCTTCTTTGAACAGCATTTTACACCAAATCGAAGATATATACTCTTTTCATCGCTTAAGATAAGGCACGACTACAGAGCCTCCCGGAGCGATCGCTTGATTTTCACGCCAAAAACCAACGTTTGGAAGAGGTTGGCCATGGCAGCGCTTAGTGAAAAGTTAGCAAATGGATGGCTCGGGGATAACGAGCTCCCGAAAAAAAGATATATGTCGTTTATCTCTGGGAGTTTTTCAGTCACTTTGCGTTTAGCTGGAAACTACAGTGAGAACCAATGATCATGGTTCAGCATAGACATTGCATTCAAGCCTTTTATTTACAGGACATTTCAACACACTCCTATGCGTTCTGGTTCGTGACTAGTGGAGAGAAATGAAGAAAGGTTGAAAACTGCTTTTACGCTCGCCTCAATTTATTCACTTTCCATGACGACCTTCGTTATACACAACGAAAGGCAAAATGTGCATTGACGGAGTCATATTTTATCGTCAAAGTCTACACATACTGCGAGAAACGCTGGCTCAAATGTAGAAACCTCCAAGATGGTTATGAGATGGTTAGCTGATGTATTGTTTACTGCATTCATCATTATCATTTCGCATACAGTTCAACAAGTATGTTTGATATTTAATTCATTCGAAAAGCGATATTGGCCTTGAATATCATGCTACAACTGTGGACACTGACAGTCATTTCTTGCGTCGCGGATATTGGAGCATCAGAACGTCAAAAGGATCCTGGCATCTTCCTTAGTGGGGTAAGCTTGACTGGAAGATCCTTTGGATGAATTCGAGCAGTAATTTACAGTAAGTTTTACCAGTAAGGAAAACTTACACTTGGAACAAGATGCTTTACGATAGAAAGCATCATGACATTAATATTGGTGTGTCAAAATTGAATTAAATGATGATGGTTCGTGATGGTCTACCGCCTCATCGTGGTGCGGGGGTAACTCTGAGTGTCGAACTGCGAAGTACAGCGGAGCTTTATCCTCCAGCAGGGTCTCCCAAGCTGGAAAGGAGTTCGACAATTCCGGTTTCCCGGATGCTCAGCTAAGAGTAGGGCATGCCAGAAGCACCACCATCTGGCTGATTCAGTCGCTAAATCGCTCCTTGACCCACATTAAATCAGCGATTTAGTAAAAACTTGGCAGGGCCCTGACAAGGCTCTGCTAATGTTTGGGAAGAAGTCCTTTACAGCCCGTATCGCATGTATGAGAAAAAGAAGTCCTGCACGTGGATCACATCTACGACGCCGGATGTCATCAAGGCCAATGTCAGGTTGCAGAGAACCCCATAGATTTCGGACCAAAGAGACACGTCAACGAC